ATCAAAGGCTTGGCAACTTAGTACACAACTGTAAAATGGCCTATTGCCACTGTTCTCCACTACATTTGAATTTCCCACAATGTAACATTTCAGATTTCTGGAAGTGGGCATCTTTAGTTTAAGAGAATTGTGAGGTGCTTTGAATGTTGTGATGTTAGTGCTTAATTTTAACTTGTTTGTATACGCCAGTTCTGAACCATGGATGGGGGAAAATTTTAGATTCTCATCAGAGTTCATTGAATTTAATCAACAGAAAACACAGAAGACAAAGAGATTCCACAGAACTCAAGAACAATAATTATTATTGGTATGCTGTGGCTAGCTCTAATGACAATGGGATAGGAGATAAGGACTCTCTTGACCATGTGCCTGGGATCAAGTATCTTCAAGGGTGACATGGATCAGAAGGGGGCTGTCCTGGTGTACCGGTAAACGAGGGAATTCCTTTTGTTTTCATAACCATACATGGAGTTATGACGCAGTTCGTTAATGTTTCCTTCCTTTGTGTACCGGTACACGAGGACACAACCGATCAGAAGGTTCGGAATCATGTGTTTAGTTAGTATGGAAAGCTTCTTGATTTGTATTTTGTACAATGCATGCTACAGATCTTCAGTCAAGGATTGTCCCACCATTTGGGATTATGTGATGGAAGATTTATCTGCTGCAATAAGGTGATCAATAGATTTCGCTTAGTGTAGATTTTTTTATTTCAGCAGATGGAGTCATTTGCAGTAAGCACTTTAATAGGATTTTTAGGAGAAATTGCCTCCAAAAACCAGGAAAAAACAAATGCCATTGTGTGCTTGACATAGATATTAAGGCAACATATAGCCTAAAATAGATGGTAATTGGAAATTGCTTTATGGTGCCTTGGTCCTAACTTAAAGTGTTAAATTGATTGTAGCATGAAATATAAATTTAATACATCTTAATTCTGTAAAATGAAATTCAATTTTCCGAAAATATTGTTTATTACAATGAAAGTTTACATGTTTATAATTTGAAATGGATAAACTTCTCTTCGTTATCGCTGTTGTACATACAATGAGAATTGCAGTTAAAGCTTTTTACAAGTGAAGAGTTTTGGAAATAATTGGTTTAACAAAAAACATGATATTTTAAAAACCCTTATACCAAGTAATGTTAATTACAATACTGGTCAATGTAGTTCAGGTGTAAAGATTTAGTATGGAACTAATGGAACAATAGAAAATGTAAAATTTGGAGAACCCAGCTTCAAATTCATTAGGGTTAAAAATTGGCTGCAATTAACACCTGACTAATAACAAAGGTGTAACCATGACATGGTGCCAGTAGGGAAGTTTGAAATACTAGAGTTGGCAATGAAGCCCAGAGATTCTACTCTTAACTCTTTACACCTCAACATCAGTATTCGTATTCTCCAAACTGTGCTCTTAAAATTTTCCATGATACTGACAAGGAGAATTTGTTTGGCAATTGAGAGCCTCTTAAATTGGAGATCATTTTCTCTTAGGGATAAATGGGTTTAAGGTTTCCTCTGGAAAATTTTGTGACAGCCACTGGATTAGTTGAAAGGTCAAACCTTTCTTAATAGCAATCATAATTGATAAAACAGTTCCATTGTAGAACAGTGGAACATTGGAACAGGTGTCTGGTGGACAATAAAATGATAAATATTGAGGGAAAGGTCCTAAATTATGTTTATATTATTAACTTGTAAAAATATTGTGGAGGAGTTGAATGGTTCCTCATGAGATTGATTTTTATCTTAACATTTCAATTCATTTTCAGTTCAACTAAGGTTGCACTTGCATAATTTTTTATTTTACTTTTTCATGCTTAAATATTAAATTAAATGTTAACTTTTTGTTTTAAATTTTTATTTTATTTTTTATTAAATTTTCACTTTTTGGCCTTAATTTGATTGTGTTTTAATGGACACACACATTGTTAATTTTCTTGCAGCATGTGACATACCTATTACACTAACCACACTAAACTGACATACATAATTAACCTTACATTAAATGCCTAATCGTTTTTTCTCACTTTTTTTTGCTAATATTCATGTAATTATAACAGTTTTGAATCATGCTAACACCTTACCATCATCTGGAATCTGGAAGATTTTTTGAATTTGGGTGTTTTTTTTTCTTAATTAATGTTTGCAAGACTTTAAAGTCCTCAGATGAAGGAACCCAACTTCTGATGGGTCGATAGAAAAGAATAAACAATTCACTTCAATATGAGGAATATAAGAATATATTGATAAATATTGTAAATAATGATTCTTTTAAATTTTTAAATTATCAAACTATTGTATAATTATCCATTGCGATAATTTACCTGAACACTGTAGAATTTGATTTTTGAGTGAATTATCCCACTTGTGAATAAAATGCTGTGGTGCAGTAAAAGTATTCTTAAATGAGGCTCCTTGATATTGCAGACAACAGGAATTGAGCTGCTTTAAATAATGAATAAATTTGCACTTTATTAAACAAATTTTATTATCAATTATTGTCTTGTTTGAATGAATCACAAGAGACCTTTTATTTTCATTTATTCATAGCAGTAAGTTATAGAATGGAGTACTCATTCATTTATTAGTAATTTCTTATGGCTTTCAAATCGTGAAAGCACATTGCCCATTGAAAAAAATAAAGTGAGATTTATGGTTTACAAAATTTTAGGAAATTTTTTTATCAAATCTGAGTTTTGTAGGGTTTTTCAGTACCTTCACTTCCTGTCTAATTGCAAATTTTGGAAAGATATCAAACAGAAAAAATGTTACTATTATTTCACAATTGCTTCTGATCCCTTCTGCATACTCCAAAGGATTGCCATGCTTCTTGGTTAGCTCTAGTGACTTAAAATGCTTGTTGAGTGATGAGAAGTTTATTTCACTGTAAAATGCATTTGTACACATGGGTAATAATGATTTCCAAACAGAAAAATTTTCAATTGAGTTTTGAAAGCAGTGGTGGATTGCTTTGGGTTTGCTTTACTTTGATCTGTGATTGATGGTCTAGAAAAAAACTTACGCCACCATCTTGACCAATCAAATACAAAATTAAAACAAATCCTAACATGGCCACTTGCGTTTTCCCGCCCTTCAAGCGGATTGCCAGTTTTTACTCTAAGTTCTCATTGATTGAACATGCAGTTAACATTTGCTCTGATTGTTAGTTGTTATTACTTTAGCTTTTGTTTTTCAACACGCATTTGAAAACGGCTCTAAACTGTAATTTTGACAAATTAGGCTCAGGAAATTTTTTCTTTAAGACTAAAATTAATGCAGGGTACATTTTAAAAAAATTAATATATATTTAGTTTTATTCCAAATCCCATTAGAGAATGCTGAACATAAGCAACTTTTTTTTGATAAAGATTTAAATTACATACTTAAGGTGGATGAATGATGTAATTGATTCAGAGGTAAGTGAAAGTAGCTGATACATCTAAAATAAATCTAACCAAAAGAGCAAATAAATTTTTTAGAAAAATATTTTCAACAAACACGATGTGTGCTGGGATATAAAACATCAAGAAACTCTGAGGCCTGGAAAAGATGCACTTTAAGTTCAGGTGATTACTTAATTAAGAATAATAAATAAATGATAAAGATTAATATGTAAGACTAGAGTACAATTTTTCTTACAGTACTTAATGAGGTCAAATCAAAATTTGAGTGTTCCAGTGCAAAGTTTCAGCTTTGTATTTAAGTAACATGCCTGTAGGATTATTCAAATTGAATATTAAACATAAAATGTATGGTAGGTAGGTAAAGCTTATCCCAGTTTCCATAGCATGAAGCGACAAGGAGTGCTACTATCCCCCCCTGAATGGGATGTTAGTCTATTGTAAGGTTACCCATTTATACTCCTGGGTGCACAACACAATGTTTGGGTCACGGCCCAGTTGTTCGAAGGTCAATTAGCGCTAACCCAAGGTTAAATTTTAATCCAGGTATGTTTATTCCTTTGTTCAAAGCCTTTTTGCAGGGTCGTAACGAGGTATATTTTTTCGTCGCTGATCCCGTATTTTTACGCAAATTTTTAAGCCCTGATCCCAAAAGTGATGAAAATTTTGATCCCTGATCCCACAAAATTTTGTTGATCCCAGTGTATTTTCTATCCATAACTTTGTCTGGTAATCATTTTTTACCAATTCGCCAATGCGACATTAGACTAAAATAAAAATGAGCTACTTCACATTTCTTTCACTATATTATGATGGTCCAAAGTATTAGAGTCCTACCTGAATTATCTCGGTTCCCACTTCTTTTGTTCGTTTTTATCATTGTACAATATTACCTTTGGCAATCATCTTTGAAGGATCCGTCACTTCGTTGACACGTGTTAACAATCTTGATTTTTCTCAAATTTAACTATCAGGTGAATTTCACTTAACTCAAAACACACTAACTAGTGCAATACTATACAAATTCTAAACGTGTTATACGGGAAACACGAGGAAACAAATTTTTCCTAAAAATCTGATAACTTTCGAATCTATCCGCTTGAAAAAGCAGACTGCTTGAAATTGACGTTGATATTAGCCTCATAAACTTTAATAAACTTTCTGTAACCAAAATTAGAATAAAACGTATTTATCGCAGCGACCTTCCTCGACATTCGTTTGAAAAAGAAAAACCGTTTGGTGATGCTATAAACTTTAAAATTTCATGAGCATGCGACCTAGTCAGTTTATGATACAAGTTTTTGTTATCATCTATTTGCAGTATCTGTGCTATTTGTTAATCCGTTTTCTAGACATCTGAAAAAAATCTATTGAAAAATATCTATCGAGAAAATGTACAACGTGTGTGAAAATTTGACTCCGGAAAGGCCCTGGAATTGTTCTGAGCTTGTTAAAGCACAAATCGTGTCACCCTCCTGCCAGATCTACTGCGTCCAGCTTCGAAACGAGTCGGTTGGTCATCATCGTCTTCACTTTTGTCGCCATCACTGTCGTCCTCACTACTGCTATCATAATCAGCCTCGTCAGAGCCGTTAGCCAAGTTTTTTTAGGCGTTGCTCCTCGTTTCGGCATAGAATGAATTTCCCACCATCCTGAACCACCGTTACAATATCTAAAATACACTGAGGTGGGTTGTTGTTGTCTTCATTGCCTACAGTGTATAATAGTGCATCTTCCTCTGACGGCTCAAGCCAGTTAATACGCATGGTACGCTCAAGGATGCCACCATTACTGCAATGAAGGTCCTCCTGAAGAATAGCAAGGAAAAAGGGCTCCAAATAACGTTTCCAGTTGTGTTTTAGGGCGACTACATCTCCCTTTGAAAAACGAACTGGACGAGTTTCAATCTGTGCTGTTTCAGGTTGTCCTGCGTCTAAGGCTTGAAGCTCTTCAAGCATGTCAACAACATTTTGAGTTTGGTTTGTTTGAACTCTTCGGATCATGCTTAGAGATAGAGGGAGAGTTCCAGCCTTTACTTTCGTTTTGTCTCTTACTCTTTGCTGCCGTACGCCTTGCCCAAATTCTTTAGCAAACAGCCTAAGTTCCCTTGATTCTTCACGCAAAACATCCTTCTCCTTAACACTATCTTCTTGCCTAAAATGTTCTTCGCTAAACTTTGCACGATCATAAAGCCACTCAGGCTCCCTCTTTTTTATTGTTCGTTCGGTGTAGTGGCTTTGGGGTCCCGTATACACTGAAAAGGAAGAGTGATACACCTTCTCTACGGATTCAACAATACAGCTTGGTCTGCAGCTGCCGTAATCATGCATGTCTGGCGTTGGACGACTTGGGGTTCTCATTCCCGCAAAGAAATGTTCCACATGTAGTGTCGTGAAACTTGGAAAGCATATATCCTTTGCAATATGCTGCAAATCGTTTTCAGAGAAGAACGAATTCGTTTTCTCAAATGACGAATGAAGCATTTTAAAAGCGTCCCTCGTAGGTTTTGACAATACTAGATCAGGACCCTGGGGACATCTTCGACCTGTTCGAAAATACGCCTGCCTCTCTACGTCTTTCATGAAATCCGCCGCTTCTTTGAGAATAATCAACCCGTCTTCCAAACTTGGTTGGAAACTTGGCTTCCTTGATAGTTCTTCTTCAAGTTGGAAGAGTTCAATAAATAGCCCCAATTTCTCTCCGAGATGTTTATAGCTTTTTAAGCTTGAAATTAGTCTGACAGCTTGATTGCTGGTGTCACAGACAAATATAGATTCTCCATATGACGCAAGCGCTGATGGCGAGTGAAACCTAACTGTAAAGCCGTCTTGCATCCCCGGCTGGCTTCCTCCCAGTGAGTGAATTACCTTGCCATCAATACAAAAGTTCACTGAATGGTCATGAGAATCAGAGAAGACGAGCTTTTGTGCTGTTTTAGTAATGCCAAGGATAACTGACGGGTCCTTTTTAACAACACTGGTTAGTTCGACAGAGGCCTCTTCTAGAGAAAGACATTCAATTCCTTGGTTGTGCATCGAGATCAGGAGCCCTTCCGGAGCGTCATAAATGCAAAGCGGTTGACCCTGGTTTACCACAAAATAAATCTCCAGTTGGGCTTTGTAACGCTTCTTCTGAATGTCAAAGTCAAACTGCGATATTTTGAAAATGGTCTTCTTGTCAAAGGTGTGGTGTTGCTGATTGTTTATATCGGGAGAAAAAGTGACTAACCTTTTAAAATCTCTATTGTTTTACAAACCTGGCGCACGTTTTTAGAGGGATGTCGGCCCGCAAATTGACTTGCAGATAAAGACCAGAAATTTATAGATCTTTTTATAAATTTCTCATCCTCAATCCCGTTTCCCGCCGGAAATAATAAAAAATTCCCGCGTCCCGCCAGAAAAATAAGCAACTTCCCGCTTCCACGCTATCCCGCATCCCGCCCTAAAATTTCCTTTCATCCCGCATCCCGGCAGCTAAAAACGCCTCATCCCGTATCCCGCCAAACCTATGTTAGACCCTCTAGATGGGGATCTGAATTTTGGCCGCGGGGTGTCCGCAAGGCAAGAGTTACTGTAATAACATTTACCAGTAAACCTAAAACTGATGACATTAATTTTATAAAAGAAATCCTTCAAATTAATCCATCTATTATTTTCCTTGATCAAAAGAAAACTTTTCTTTCATCTAAATTGTCTTTAGAATAAATGCTACTCGGGTCCACGCTAAATCCCACAACACGACGAAATCTCATAGTCCATTTGTGCTATCAGTTTTCAATGTGTTATCAGTTGTTACATCATGGTTTTTGTGTCTGGTCTTTTCGCCGTTTTAGAAGCAATTCTATGTATACTCTAGTCCTTATAATTGGTAACAACACACAAACACTCATTATTCTAAGTTACCTGCTTATTGAACGTCGCCTTGAGCTTCGCTCATGCCGTTGATCGCCTTTTCTGCTGAGCGACCAGGAACGTGAACTAGAATGTCGAGTTTATGAAATTAAATTTTGCCAAAAGATTGCAGATTTGAACCAGAAAGAAAACCGTAAATCAACGTTTACTCCAATTTACCTTCTACGTGTGTGATTATCTTTTCTCTTCTTTCGCTTCCCCATGGAAAAAAACTTTCTGAAATGTTGACTTTTTTAAAAAACGATCCAGTAATCTCCAAGTATACTCAGTGCCCGTGCTCAGTCGAAAGCAATCCAACGTGCTCAAATGACCTATTCCTGGCATATTGTATGACATGATTGAACGTCATGCAGCGCGAGTAAGACAATAAAATCCTGGCAAGTTATTAACAGATTAACGACCCAATGCCTAACCAGTCAAGTTTGAGTCAACTAGTACTCTTTGATTCTGGTCTCCGGTGAACTACCAATCAATAAGTCCAAATACCAAGGAATACTGTATAAAATGGGTCATAAAATTTAAAAAAGCTTTAAAAATCCATGTTTAGGCGCGCATCGTAAATTATTGTTGTTATCTAGACGCCTGATCCTTGAGCCCATGGAAAACACGCTGATCCCGATCCCGAGGGCTTTGATCCTGGATCCGAGGCTGTGATCCCTGATCCCACCCTTTTTTAGGCCTTTGATCCCTGATCCCATATACCTCGTTACGACCCTGTTTTTGGGATAATTTTCTCTCTTCTTTTTAGAGCATCCATTCATCAGCTTGTAGCGAAACAAACTTGCAATGAATTTTCTTTTAAAGCTTTCAGAGCTGAAATCCAATTTCACACTAACCCTGGGTTATCTTAACCCTATCCTAACCCCTGCAACCGAGGAACCAAAAAAAATTAGAGACGTCTGTACAAACAGGCTTCGCATTTAGATGTTCTGTTCTTTTTTCGCACAGATTAAATTTGACGTAAGCGACCGGGAACTGGTGATCCCACTTTCCGACGGCCAACATGACCACGAAGACGAGGGTTACTCTCACGAGGTTGTCCAAAGGATTTTGGCGGCGAAGGATGAGGGGCTTGTGAGCGATAAAGCCTACCATGAACTGAGGATGGCGCTCCCCGAAAGTGTCCGAAGTCACGTCCCGCCACTGTCAACAATATTGCAGGAAAGGAGGACACAAAATAAGGAAATCGAAGTAATTCCAATTCCAGAGGTAAATTATTTTGTTGGTAAACTTATATTACACTCGAGGCTGTTATAGCTTTTTAAAGTACGATGGAGGTGGCTCCCCACAGTAAGTTTAACAGGATGACAAGCGGAAGCCATATAATGTCTTATGCATAAGGGTTTGTGTTCCTGGCATTCACGCTGATTTATCAACAACAATCCAAGATTTTTTATTTTGATCATTTGTGTGTGTCAAAGGTGCTATGGCAACAAGCATTGACTTTCAGTGAGGGCGAAAAGCTTTGCTGAAAGTGAAAAACATTCAGTCATCAAAGTATTTAGTGACCATCCGGCAGGCAATATGGCGTCAAGCTCGTGAATGGGCACAGAAAACTTTGTCGCTTGCAAAAGATTTGGCGCGGAAGGAAGACCACCGAACAACTCTTTAAAGGTCTCGGCATCCATCGGCATGGTGACAGACGAACGTCTCACGATGCTGGTTGTTGGCGGTTTCTTCATGTTCAGCTTTTCTGCCACTAACACAGCTAAGGTCTGCAGCAAGCCCGGAGTTCCTTGGTGGCGTGTCCTAAACACTTGTTTAAGGCGCTCGTTTGTGTCGGCTTCATCCACGCAGCTATCGTTCTTCTTTCCAAAGCCACGCCAGCGGACGAGGTACTGAACGCGACCGTGGGCGTCTGTACGCTTATCGAGCACTTTCGAGACTTCGTAAAACTTGCTCATGTTCTTAGCTATTCTCTCAGTAAGGGATAATCTAAAGTGATTATGACTTGCGTTTACGAGGCCTTTATATGCAAGTACCACTGATAAAATTTATGACCTTTTGAACTGCAGAACAATACCCTCAATTAGTGAATGGCCCGCCCCCGTTTATTTTTGAACGGCGTCGCGTGAGCGGATAAAAAAAGAAAAAGCAAATCTACGAGAAACGTGAGCGCGCGCAAGGTAGGGAGTCGTTTCGAAAAAAAAAAGGAACAAAAATCGACGGTTTAAACAAGCAAGTCCAAACAAGTCACCATTTTTTTTTTCACTCACCTAATGCAGTGATGAACATTTTTTGTTTAAGAACTTGTGGCCAACCGGAGAATAAAGTCACTGAAACGGAAAAAGGTGCGAAAATCGCACCTATTGTTTTGCCTTCAACAGCGAGGTTTATTTGCTTCAATAGACCAAAAAACAAAAACGCGAGCCTGACAATAGTCTAAGAAAACCAAAACCAACCCGCCTTTCTACACACTCTCGACATCGAGCGGTGTCTTCATTGCAATATGTCTTAATTTTTTTTCTTATCTTATTTTAATTGGTTTTTTTTTTTTAGCAGTGGAACAATAATCATTTAAACGTGGAAAGGTGCAAAAGACAAACTAGTCCTCTTGCCAATCGACAACAGTTCTGTTTTCGTATATCGTTTTCGTCGATACAGGCGCAATTAGTTAAATAATTATTAAGCCATGCACGAAGTAAATTTAAACTTAAATTTAAGTCATTTTTTAAAGAAGCATAGCGTATAAAGCTATAAAACTGAGATGATGCCTACCAGCCGCCCATTTTTAACTCGTGAATTGCGCGCATGCGCAAGAGCGAGTTATAGATACGATGTGGGGAATGGCATTCGCTCGCTCGCTCGCTCGATTGGTCGATTCCTGTAAACTTTTTTCAGATTTTAGGCTTTTGAGTGCATTTGATAGTTTTTGGCGAGCAATAAACAGACGAAATGGCGACCTTTGTTGCTAAGAATAGTGGTGGGGTGAAAAAGAAGCCAATGATAATCTTAAAAGAGTTTTTTTTTTCGTTTTAGTTTCAACAAGCGGCACCAGCGACTGGCAGGCATGCAAGGATTCACACTAAAATAACAGAACAACCTTCGTTTTTCATAAAATTGTAATTTACAATCCTTGAACTTGAAAACAATCCGAAGATTCATTGAAAATATCACTTAGTGCGAAGCGCTCGGAGTTTACAGATGTTCAAAAGCTTTTTCTGTTATGGCGTGAGGTTGAGGACAAAATTGATCATTACGTTTCGTCGCGTGTGTTTTTCCTGTGTGAAGCAACAGAAGACGCCGGCGACTGACGAAATTACAAGTTAACACGAAAATCAAATAACACCTAAACAAACATTTTTAGCTACCGATTTTCAGTGAATTTTTAAAGAACAATTTTCTTTTAAGTTTTAAGACAATTTGAAGATTCAACATACATACAACGTACTAAAATGCGAAAGTTACATGCCACAAAATTGATAAATAGGGCTGAAATGAAATTCTATCTTGTTATTGATTATACGTTGCCTAGCACGTGACTTAAATCTACCCAGGCGGAGATCCAAAATGACGGTGGCAGGCTTGGGTTAGTTATATCTCTCAAAACTCGTTCTCGTTTGTCTCATTTGATAAAGAGGGAATCGTTAATGTTTTCATTAAGACAGTATTGCCTTGATTTTCTAATATTTACAACGAAAGACAGTAAATTTCTCTTTTCACCCACATTTACTTCCAACCTTTTCTTTTGAACCAGAAACAAAAATGATAGACGTTTAAAACACATGACATCATCCACCTTGTCAAATGTAATAGCATGATCATTTCAATTGTGATGCCTTCTTATCCCAACGTTACTTTGTTTCTTTGCTACATTAGCGAACACTGAACTACTGCTCGTACTCTAGATATGACAATCAACCACAAAATTTCCTAAACCAGATAACATTAAACATAATCTAAAAAATCATGTGTCAATTCACGAGTTTGCTCACAGAGCACTTTGATTATCGCTTGCAGCTACTCATCGCCGCTTGCTCGCTAAACATCACAAAAAAAATTTAACGGATAGTACAACAAGTTATATTCTAAGTATCAATTTCATTTTGACGAGTAAAATAAAACTAAAGTACAATTAGGCTGAGTAAGGCCGAAACATGCGCGCACGGTATGACAAAAGCCGAACGCAAAGAATAAATCGCTCCCCGCCTCCACCCCCAAGTGCTTCGCTCGGCTCGCTGTTTTTTTCTGGCGCGCGTTCTTTCGCGTTAAAAAATGCAGGCTGCGAACAGTCTTATTTCTTATTTTCTCTTATTTCCTATTTCTCTCTTTCATTATAACATCCACACGAGATTCACTGTGTGGTTAGTTGGAAACCTGGGGCTGAATCTAATTTGATTAGAAAATAGTCCACGCTATTCGGTCTATTCAGACCCGAGAGAGTGGCGGAAATCGATCCAAGGAAAGATATTGGGACCAAATAGAAAAACCCTTTTCAATATTCAGGTGAAATTTGGTTATTCGTGAAAATATCCGTTGTTGTCCTCAGAAGCACAAGGCCAATCATCACTGCAAGAATCAACTTGGCTTTTCTATATATTTCATCACTGGACAACCGATAGGCGTTCTAGGTTAATGGCAGGACGCCATTTGGAGGATTCGGACCTTGCGGAGGATCGTTTGGTCTCGGAACCCTCAGACAATAGGCATGGTCCTGTCTCGAGGGCCTAAAAACTGAGAAAAAAATAATCACATAACGTTGGTACGTGCTATATGCGCGAAAGACGGCAGTTCGTATGTTCAAGAAGAGGATCTTAGCCTCACCATAAAATGTTCTTGCTCGGCCATTGATCACCCTACGAACCACAGTAATTCCAGAAATCGGATGAGCTTGGTCTGCATGACTCGCAAGCCACTGAATCTCCAAATCGAGTTTATCGGACAAGTTCTCCGGCCGCATGTCTAACCGTTTTAATATGCACACTGTTATTCAAAGACTTCACAAAATGCACAAAGGCTGACTAAGATTGAATGAATGGTTTACTTGTATCCTTGTTTCTCTGTTGGAGCTTTCAGTTTTTTACTGGTTTATTAAGGTGCTACAAGGGAACGCCTTTTTTAATATAACCAGAATTTGTGGCATTGAAGTCGATAGTGAGTTCCTCATTGACAACGCAATAATGTCGGTTGGTATTTTGTTCGCTTTTTCTTTTGGCTTGCTGTATGGAGCCTTCCAAACAGAAGTCCCAACAAAAAAATGTGCCAGAGTGTGCTGCCGGCCAACTACGCAACACCCGTCATTGACCAAGCGAAAATGAAACTCTATAAATTTAAACCGCTAATCGCCATATACTGCTCAAACCTGACGCTACTGTTTATATTCCTATCTCATCTTCCATACTGCATCAGCCAATCTGCCGCTCAAGTCCTTTTACCTTGCCTTTCTGTCTGCGTTTGCTGTTTCTGCGCACTTCAGGCGGAAAAAGTGAGATCAGTCAAACGTAAAAAGGTGCGAAAATAACACCTTTTTGTTTTCTTGGCTTGCATACTCTTTTATACTCATCGCGCCAGTGGTTGAACATTGACAACGCGAGAAGAAATTTTCAGCAGAATACCATTTAGACTTCTGCGATCAGTCCTTAAGGCCTGCCTGCGTAAACGGGCCTTAAGGAAAACAAATATTGAGCGAACACAGCTTAACTGCGTCCTGTCCTGGCTTATAAGCTCTAGACCGCATTTTCAATCACTCCAAGCTACTCGCGGCCCCTTGCCGTGAAAACATGAACTGAAAACAAACTATTATGTCACAAGCGGCTGAATTCCAATTTATTTTATACTGACGGCTTATCTTGCTTCTGAAGAAGTCAGAGGAAGTTACTTCAAGAGAAAATACATTAACGGTCCGCTCGTTTCAAACACTGTATGACAATCGTTACCCTGGACAATTACTGACTAACCCCCTGTTAGTCTGTTCAAATTTTCCCAAGTAGACTACCGCTGGGGAAAAATGTCATCGCCGACAATTTGCCGAATGAATCCGAATCAAGCCGAGTAAAAGCTCGTGATACTAAATAGAAAAGTCCCTAAGGATGGATAACAAAAGGCCCATTGTATTAAAAAATCCCAACCATAACAATAGGCAAAGTTTGATATGAACACGGTATGGTTGGGGCGTCGGACTCAGGGTTCAGGGGTCTGGACCTGGCAGGGTCTTTGTGTTGTGTTCTTGGCCGAGACACTTAACAATCACAGTGTCTCTCTTCACTCAGGAGTACAAATGGGTAGCAGTGAACTTGTAGGGGAGCTGGGTGAACTTCTAAAGTGGCTGACTAATCTGTGACAGAAAACAGGTGACTAACCATTCATTCCATCCATTTGCGACGAGCTTCAGCTGGATGGGCTTCTTCCTAAAAGTACAGATGTACCGTTTGGGAAAGGTGGGGGGAAGTTGTTACCTGGGAAAGGTGGTGGAGTGGGGTGGGAAGTTGTTACCTGGGAAAGGGGGTGGGGTGGGGTGGGGAATTGTTGCCTATTTAGGAGGCAAGGTGCCAGCTGTTGCATTCCTGTTGAAATAGAAGAGATATTGACATACACACAAATCAAGAATGCTGAAACTTTTGCGGTTGGACAAAGTTGTGTCGCTAATTCTCCCTGTACACTTTCTACGAACCTTGATTGACTTTCAAAATTTTACAAACAGGTAGAAGTAACTTTAAACTTTACTTGTGATTTAAAGCAAGTAAGAAATGAAATCTGTGAATAAAATGATCTAAAAGGCCTTAAAAACCTAAGAGCCCTCAAAACAAGATGGTGTTTTCAGCAATAAAGTAGAGTAAATTTGTATAAATTTAAAATCCGTATCATCTAACGAACAGTAGTGGTCGGGTGTATTAGCTGAAGGAAAATACATTAAACTTAAGACCCAGTTGGCCAATCTGAATGACCCACATGGTAATTCAGGTAAAGCTTGGGTTTTAAGGTTAAAATAGCCTTTTCCGGGAGAAGAGTGCGCAAGAAAGACAGTCAATCTTGGAGAAAAAATACCTTTATTTCTTTGGAGAAAAAATGCTGATCAATCAATCTGGTTAGTCAGTTGATAACCACACTCTGGCGTCACACACTTTCCACCCAGTCGTTTGGCCTTCAACAAATCCAAAAATCCACAGGGATGCCAATCGGTTTTTTAGAGTTATCATATTAACGTTAAGCTTGTAGCTAAAGTTTGAAAAATTCATCTACTTTTGAGCGATGAAAATGTGTATACTTTTTTTTTTAAGTTAGGCAGATCCTGCAGTCATTATGATGGGTGATATAGAAATCACTGGACGTTCCTTAATGGATGTATCACGTGTTACATAAAATCTTGTTTCATTTAATTTGCAGATGTAGTGGGTCCAGGAAAGTTTGTAACAATCAAACCCATTCCTATTGAAAAGCTGAGAGAATACTGTGAAATCAATCAAGCTGATGGCAACAAGGCATTTAGAGAAGAGTTTGTGGTGAGTTAATAGGGTAAATTTCTACAGAAGTCATTTTTGCCAATAGATAAACGTCATCCTCTGAGAATGATTGCTCATCATTACACTTGGTCGTCAGTTCTCTTCAAGGATCTCGGTTTGAGCTCGAGGGGGCAGACGAGAAATTGGAGGTTGCGAGGTGAAAAAGAAGGGGGTCTGAGGAGAGTAACAGAGGACTTCCTTTAACCCAGACTCTTGCCGTTTTTCGCTCTCTTTTTTTTCCTCATTTCCATTGACCAAGAGCTCGTCTCCGGCAGCTTATTAACCTACTCGTTAGGTCAAACTCCACTTATTGTTATAAGCTGTACGCTGAATCATAACTTCTGATTTTTTTGTTGATTTTCCAACTGCAGTCCATCCGGGTACCAGGAAACTTTACATGGGAGAGCAGCCAGAGACCAGAAAATAAAGCCAAGAACAGATACAAGAACATTATTCCATGGAAGTCCAGTATACCATATAACCAGAAGCTAATCTCTATAATTTAATTTAAAGTGGCCCAAAATTAACTAAAAAAAAAACAAAGAAAGAGAGAAAGAAAGAAAGAAAGCCAGAGAGGGGAGAGAGGGTTCTGCCCCTACCCTCTCCCCCTTATCACTCCCGAATCTCAGTTACTCAGGTATTTCCTTATGATTATTTCTTGGGTCATACAATTATTTATTTCCGTTAAGAATTAAGATAATTTCCCTTTCCTTTTGTTACAGGAACAAAATGAAACGTGGCAGGCACTGCGTATGATACGCATTAGAATATACCACACAGGTGAATAGTGCTTTTCGCCCACACTGATTGGCTAGTTCGAAAGCGCTTAGGAAGTACTAGTCACCTCCCGGGCAGCCGAAGAGACAAAATCGCGCGTCAAAAATCTAATTTCTAACATTTTTGGTGTATTGAAATAGAGAGACTATATTTTTGGTTGCTGTGTGGTATATAATAAAACAATTATTCACCTCAGTGTTAAGTGAAAGTGGTGGATATTTACCTCCCCGCTTCGTGGCTCGGTGAATATCCACTACTATTCACCTCCACTTCGGTAAATAATTGGTAACTATCTGAAAGAGTGTATATTTGTCGGGCATTAGGCTTTTTGAAAAATTTCACGTCAGGCGAACCGTCATAATTGTGTTGCTCGTCTTTAACTCATTTGCAGATGACCACACGAGGGTGCAATTAGTGGAGTTGGATGGTTATCCAGGAAGTGATTACATCAATGCCAGCTTCATTGATGTAAGTACAACTACAAAAATAACAACCGTAACGATATGTTTAAACCTTTATTCCTCTACAATGATCGGTATCTAATTTTTCCTCTCGAGATCATTGCCAAATCAAAAGTCCAGGCCATGAGAATTAAGGAATTGATTGCCAACTACAGAAGCTCGTGATTATTACGTATTCTCTCTGTCAGTTCGATAGGAATTATGTCGTGCACAGCATGGTGAATATTCAAACTGATATTTGGGTGTTATGAGTTCTGGAGTAAGGTGTGAGGTTTGAAGCAGTTATAGCAACGATAACAATTGTACACAGTTGCAAAAATCAGGTTGTGAAGTATCTCCCATGAGTTGCACTCAGGTCTCTCCCGGCCTGACAATGTTGACTGGACTACCTGATAAGTTCGTTATTGACTATTATTTGTTTGTTTATTTTTAGGGTTACAATCATCACTGCAAGTTCATTGCTACACAAGGTTTGAGTTTCTTTGTGTTCTTTCTGCTTCAATGGAACAGCCTATCTTTGCCATGGGAATGTCCTACTCGATTGCCATCAATGATGCTGAACGTTCACTCATAATATTTACTTGAGTAGTTGGGTTTTTGTCATGGATTCTAGGACGCTACCAATTATTAAGGAATTTTTGTAATGCAAATGTAGGCTGGACGCCAACGAAATGATCCCCTATCCAGTTTTGCTCGTTTGAAAAAAATCAAAAGCTATCAGAGACGGACGTATGTTATAGGGGCGTCAACGAGGCCTTTATTTTTCCTTTCACCTGAGGTTTGACCTCAGGACTCGACAACAGCTCTTGACCATAGTGCCACATATTGGGGTACGAGACAATTCTCCAACCCACCCACCCCCACCCCCTCTTTTCCATTCCGCTCCGCGCTGGCAATTTCTAATCACGTGTTATACATACATTTCAGGTCCTGTTGCTAGCACATTTGGAGACTTCTGGCGAACAGTCTGGGACCAAGGCGTTTGTATCATTGTCATGGTTACAAACATGGTGGAAGGAGGACGGGTGGGTTAAACTATATTTACACTGAACATCATTTTGAAAATATGTCGGAGACAGGGCCCGAACGTAGTTGAGTTTTGATTGACACTGCACGTCAGTGCAGTCATGCTTGTCGCTTTAGAAGGAGTGTTTTTTCCTAAGAAAAGGTATGAGAGAACAAAAAACGGTTTTGTTTATAGCAAGAAAACCTGTGATTGTGACTTTGGGATACTAAACTCCTATTGCCACCAAGGCAATCCCGAAAAATACATAGGTTATAGGTAGAAAGAACCACTCAGAATGCAAGTAGAATTTTTAATCAAGAATATTTGTCTTTAGATCAAGTGTCTGAAGTATTGGCCGAGCGCCAGTCCAGAAATGTACGGTCCTGTCCTGGTTTCTCCAGGTGATGAAGAAGAGCTTGCTGACTATATGATTAGAAAGCTTTCTGTTCAGATGGTGAGTTTGTTTTGGATTATTTGTACGTATGTTTCTTTCAGTGAGATGGTCAGTGAGCCCATATGAGTCCGTGAATGATTTAGTCAGTTGAGTCAGCCAGTCAGTGAGTCAGTCTCTGAGGAGGTCAGTCAGACAGTTAGTCGGTGAGTCAGTCGGTCATCAGTTTGTCAATCAGCTAGTGAGCCAGTCAGTCAGTCACTCTATGAGTCAGCCAGTCAGTTAGTCAGACAATAAGTTGGTGACTGAAACAGTCAGTCAGCGGTGAGTCAGTCAGTCAGTCGTTCTGTCAATCCGTTTGTGATTCAATGATTTCTTGGACAGTTGAAGTCTGAGATCTGTAAGCTCGTTTGAAGTACGTGTGTAAAAAAATTACAAGATATCTACCCAGCTACATAGGATAATACGGGGAAACTGCAAGTTGACTAAGGTGCATAAAAGCTATAATGCTGACTTTCCTTGTTATCTTTCCTAGACCTCAGACACAGCCGAGTATCGCGCCCGTGAGGTGATACAGTATCACTTCACAGCTTGGCCTGATCAGTGGGTCCCTACACACGCAACCTCCTTGCTTGCTTTCCTGAAGAAGGTCCGTGCCTCTCTGCCAGAGGATTCTGGGCCCATTTTGACCCACTGCAGGTAATGAGATGGGACATTGAAAATAATTTTTCGCAGCTGTCGTCCGTTACGCTCTAACGACAGCCACAGAAATGAGTCGAAACATTGCGGCGAGGTAGACGGGCAAAGTTCCCTTGAAAAATAGACGAAGTGGAAATTTTTTTTTAAATTTGTGTTTCACCTGTTTTATATTTTGTATTGGAAGTTTTTGTATCCTTCCTCCTCTTCGTAGAGACACTGTTGTTATGATAAAAGATATTTATTGGCCTGTGCCATTTATTGTGCAGTGCTGGTGTAGGACGCACCAGGACATACATTGTACTTGACGCCATGTTGGACCAAATAGATGCTGAGGGGGTAGTAGACATCTATGGTTTTGTCTGTCATATCCGTCAACAGAGAAGTGCCATGGTGCAGACAGAGGTATGGCATAATTTAACGCGGGGTGGGGGGGGGGAAGTAAGAGATCGGAGGAATTTAGTTGTGTCACTTAAAATATACTTAATGCCCTTAGGCTCTAGAAAAAAAAGACTCTCAGACCCCCCCCTCCTCGATAAATATTGACTGATCCCCTTGTCTCTCCTTAAAACCATGAGAACCCCCAAACCCCCCATGAATAATGACTGATCACCGTCCGTTTCCGTTGAAAACGATGTGATCCCCCTCCCCCTTCCCCTCCCTCTCAATAGAAAGGTCTTCATGCCCCCCTCCCCGTGCGATAAATAATGACTGGTTCCTTTGGAAGGACTTCTGATATAATGATTTCTTAGACGTGGACGGTTTTATTTATTTATTTGTTCATTTGTTCAATCTTTCTACGACAGGCCCAGTACGTATTTATCCATGACGCTCTGGTGGAGTATGTCACATGTGACAGTACAGAATTTGCTGTGTGTGACCTACCAGAGAACTCGCGTGTTCTTAACACCATTGATCCAGACAGTGGAGATTCGCTTCTGGTGGTGGAATTCAAGGTATTAAACTTCTTTAAACCAGTAGATTTCGTGGAGTTTTGAGAGGGTCTTCCGACCGATCTGGGGATGCAGTGAGGTGTGAACAATTCTTAGAAAGTACTAGACTTCTCAAAAGTGTGTTTTTGTGAGGTTTTGATGTTTCACCGTTCAGGAGACAACACAGCTCCTTCTGATCATAATGTTTGATTCAGCAGTAATCTGCAGCGAGAATTTTGATTCTTGTGACACTAAGTGGTTAAAGGGTTAGGCGATCTTTCATCAATTTCGTAAGGGTGTAAGCCGATGTCATTTTGGAAACTTAATCTTCTTTAATAAGGGATGAAAGAAGCTCAAGGCTTCATCTTAATAGTTTTCTACGGATATACATAGGCATACTGAGCAAACAATAGCTAAGGAAGTGAAAGTGCTTTTATTCCTTTTCCTGGTTTGTATCGTTTCGAAGGCGCTTTGTGAAGAAGAGTTTTCGCTTGCAGTATTTTATTAATAGTAGTAGCAATGTTTTACTAATATGTACTCATTGATTGATGTTATCATGCAGAACCTTGGCCTGGGTGACTCAGATTACGATTCATTCATCAACGCCTCTCAGCCTGAAAATAAATCCAAGAACAGATTTGCCATACTCCCATGTAAGTTGAAATAATTCATAGAGAGTCTTATTTATAAAGAAATTAAAGGCACTCGCCCAGGAGATTTAGTGAGAGACACGGATTCGAATTTCGTCGAAGCCTGAATTTTTTCAGGTTTTTGTTTTGCAATTGCTTAAAGCTCATTCCACCTGCGCGGATCATTTCTTTGCTTTATTTCTGTACCAGAAGTCCAATACAATTTATTTCTTTAAAAATTGAGAATAAAATAGATTGCCTTAAACGTAATATACATTACCTTTATATGATTCTATTTTCTCTCCAGTTGATCGATCAAGAGTAAAACTGTGGCCTTTCACGGGTATGGTGGGGTCTGATTACATAAACGCAAGTTTTGTAGACGTGAGTACATCATTATTCAAATAATAATTGTTAATAATTATATCAAAAGCATAGACTAGCAGGTAGTGAAACCTTTACACCCCAACATTAGTATGTATATTCTCCACACTGTTTCCTCCACACATTTCTTAAGGCGAGATGAACGACAACTTCCCAAGTTACTGATCATTTTCTTTATTCTCGTGACCTTAATGTCTGCTTTAGGGCTGAGATTGTGGGGAGAAATTAGATGCTAATCATTCTTAGGAGTCAAAGGGTTAAACTTATCCAAGCGAGTCATGTTTTAACTACTAAATATGATGCATCGAAGGCAAAAGAAAAGAAAGAGAGAAAATAAGGACGAGAAGAAAATGAGATTAAAGTGATTGGAACCAAAGTTACGCTTAATTGTGTTCATCATTTATTTAAAACATCTACACACCTACGGTTTTAAACATGAGTAGGAAAGTACATATCAGAGAACGAAAACTTACAAATAAACTTACAATACGGCAAAATATATACCTTAATGGTGGATAGCTTTACAGGAGAAAAACAAAAACGACGACGCTGCTTTTTACAAAGTGGACATGAACATTGGTCCACAGGACTAACTTTTTACACAAAACGTGACAAATTACTCGACTTAATTACGTACATCACGCAACGATACAAACATCAACCACAAGTACGAAATACAAATAATGAAACATACAAACACTCACTGGTGATTAACACGTAAACACAATACACACAGGAAACTGTTTGACAATAAGTTTCGCGATTACGGATATGATCAGAATTAGAGGGTTATCTTGGTACGACACCGAATTCTCTTGACTGGTTTGAAAAGCAGAGAGATAGGAAGAACTCACGCTTAGCTTTCAGGTTTCGGTTTGTTCTGCAAGTGCCCATAATTCTTTTTGGCAGTTGTGTGTTGTTTTCATTCCAACCACACCGTCTCAGTTGTTTTATTTCTATCTGATTTAGAGTTTCCAGCAGCGCGAGGCATTCATTGCCACCCAGGCCCCGTTGGATACTACGGTCGTTGATTTCTGGCGAATGACCTGGGAATATGAAGCTAATTGCATTGTCATGTTATGCACACAGAACGAGAGAGAAGAGGTTTGGGAGTTGATTTTTGTTTTAAGTCTGATATCTAATTGGGTGCAATTTCTACTCAACGTTTCCTTAATTTTTTGTTGGCGGGCTACTTGGCTTTAGTGCAGACTTCTCTTTAATTTTCAGTTGTCTGTGTGTTTGTTTGTTTGTTTGTTTGCCTGATTAACCTGATTTGCTGCATTCATTTGTCGTTTTCAGGGAATCTGTGTATCTTATTTGCCTCACAAAGAGGAGTTCATTGTTTATGGTTTGTTGATGATCGAGATTGAAGCGGAAGATCTGAGAAATGGTTTCTGTAGAAGACAACTGAAAATTACGAACACAAAGGTGAAAAAATAAACATTTTCTTTTTGCGTTCGTTACGATGGAAAGAAAACTAAGGAAAAATATATGGGTGCGTTTGCTGTATTGTGCGTAACTTGATGTCTATGGTTTGAAGAACCTTTGCCGTTACTGTTCCAGTGAATTGACCAGTAATGAAACCTCCATACAGGAAACAGCGGCTGATACCATCAGCCGCTGTTTCCTGAGGACTAGAAAAAGTGTCTCCAGAACAGAGTTGTCTCAGTAGAGAACGTAGCATATAAGCGACGTATAGCTCACCTCCGGGGTTAACCCTTTACACCCTTACATCAGTATTCATATTCTCCATACTGCCTCTATACATTTCCTGAAACGCTGATAAGGAGAATTTGTTTAAAGATCAAGAGCTTTATAAGTTTGGTGTCCATTTTCTTGATTCTCATGACCTTAATGTTTGATTCAGGGGTGATATTGTGAGGAGAAGTTAGAAGCTGGTCACTTTTAGGGGTTAAAGGGTCAAGGCTCGAAAAAGGACCCTTGGATAAGAAGTTCCACGCGCCAGCGGTCAGGTCAGCTTTTCTTCGTGAGTTCTTAATGGCGCCTCGTGATAGTTTACTTTTTTCCGACTGTCTGTCATTATTACTTTGGTTTTGGTCGCACGACACTCAATTGAAACGCGCTCACGTTAGTTTTAAATGTCTGATCTCCGCGACATCGTATTCGATAACATCGGAATTTTTTTGGTGAACGTAATAGCGGCCATTTTTTAATTTTTCAGAATCGGAAGGCCGGGGAGAGAAAGAAATTTGAATCAAGGGGGTGAGAGACGGTCCAAAGGAAGGAGAGGGGTGGGGTGGGGTAATAGAAATTCACCCCTTTCTCCGTCCCCCCCCTACCCGTACCGTCCACTCTAGCTCTAAATCAAACATGGCCGGTGGAATAGACGATCGCAAGCTTGCAACATTGACTTGTCCAAAAAGACGCTTTCACTACAGGGTAATAATATCGTGATTCAATGCTTTCTCTTGCAGTGGTGTCGGGCTTCTTGACATGATGAAATGTATCACAAGGGTGCAGCAGCAGACAGGCAATGGACCAATAGTCGTCCACTGCAGGTAAATCCTTTGAAAGTATCACATGAGACGGATCATTGTCAGTATCTGAACAACCGCGCACCTACCCCTCCCTTAACCCAACATTAAAACTAACTTGTTATGAGTTGACTGTTTTTGGGTTAGGGGAGAGGTAGGTGTGTAGTTCTTCTAATACTGACATTGATCCCATCAAATCTGGTAATTTTGGCCATTCCCTGGATTGACACCAATTTCTTCAAAAGTTCCATCTGCAAAATACGTGTAGTTTGTGCAATTTTTAGATCTACATCTATGTTGAATTTAAAAGTCATCCACTGGAAAATGCGCAGTGTCTCGTTGTTTAAGGTGTCAATAGGCTCGTTTATTTTGTCGTCAGTGTTCAAGTTCTAAACTTCGCAAATTTGAATATTTTGAGCAGCGAACTAAGATTTTATCTACTGGTATTGATTGAATTGTGAATGGCAGTTGTCATAGTTCCAACTAAATATTTTCAGGAAACATAAACACGTGGTCCATTGAACGTTGTCTAGTACGGAAATATTTTATAATTTGGTTATTATTCCATAATAAGCAAAGGAAACGAATTTCATCTCTGGTTCCCTCTCTTTTAGTGATGGAAGTGGTCGTACAGGTAGTTTCTTCGCTATTAATATAGCGCTGGAGCGGGTCAAACTTGATGGTTCAGTAGACATGTTTCAGACCGTACGGCGCTTGCGTACTCAGAGACCTCTAATGGTACAGACAGCGGTAAGGAAAATCAAATGATGTTACTCTTTATTCCAATAAGCATCTTAAACGTCTTGTGGCTCTGAGGGGGAATATAATAATAGCTGAAACGAAGTTTACGACCGTAATCTTTTTCTTGTACGAATCCATGCCGCGATGTGTCACGTTCCTTTTTTTCGTTTTAGAAAAGAAGTGATAAATTGAAGGAAACGATTAAATGAAATAACGGCAAGAAAGCAAATATTTAAGACATAACGATTAACAGTTTAGGAATAAGGACGCTTTTGAATGGAGAAGATCAACAGGGATTGTAAAGAAAAAATTTGAAGAATTTATTCAAAATATTTCCAAGATGCACACGACAGAGCTACTTGTAAAGATGCTCAAAGATACGATAAGGTTGGATAATATTCCCCATGAAAATAATCAGTTCAAGCCCAAGATGATTACTGATGAGCAGAGGGGGGTGGGATTATTGATGAGAAAAGGGCGTAAGGTGTATAATACCTCTTTCAGACCCTTGCCCTTTTCTCCATTCTCGTTTCTAGCCAACAATTATTTTCTCTAGGTTATATAAGTTCAGTCTGCTCCTTGCTGTTTGTGACCCGTTTCTCTTTGATCCTTGCGTGACCTTGAAGAGCATGTTGCTGTTACCCAACGTCGTTGATCCTCGACACAGTTTTTTACAATTTATGCCAAGTGAAACTACTAAATTAAATTTTTTGAATGCATGATCATTTCTGTGAGTACACTTTATTATTCTTGTCATATCCGCATCTTACAAATCTTTGATTGTCTGTTCCATGACAGGAGCAGTACAAGTTTTGTTACGAAATGGTACGTTTGTTTGTGGACTCCTTCAGCGATTACGCGAACTTCAAGTGATGCGAAAATACTGGAATATGTTCACAAAGAAGACAAGCGCTCTACAAAGTGTTGCACATTACGTGAGGCCTCTTGTCTCAGAGAACTGGTAGAGCCCTTTAACATTATTTGTGAGAAAGATTCAATGCCCTCTTTGTTGGAGAAGTCAGTACCATTTCTCATCGGATAGAGAGAACAGACAACTCAAGAAATGGATACAGTGATCTTTTATTCTCGATGAATGACACACCCCCCCAAAAAAACCCTGCACGGAAAGAGAACTTCATGCCATATCGAAGTGAAGTTCATGAGTTGTTGGTAGTGGTTCTTTGAAGTTAAAATGTGCTTCCCAAGTGCACTTAAAAGGAAAGGAACGATTGTTTCGATCACGGTATTAATTTTGTTTCTGCAATAATGTTTAATTCTCATGGGTATTTTCTTGGAAAAGTGATGTAATAGTTAAGATATTTTAAAATTGGGGCTAAATTGCTCAGACGCATAATTCTAGAATCTCTGTAATTACAACTGGACCTCACTTGACTTTTCCACGGTTTCATTAGGGTGTTATCTCTTTACAAGCGCTCGGGATGTCCCGATAGAAAAAGTTTCTCCGTGATAATTGTTGAGATGTTCTGACAGCAAGTCAAGGGATATTTTTGCGTAGTGCTATTTTTAATGCAATATTTTGTATAGCTTGAAAGAAGGCATGCACGAAAATCTTTTCATTTTTGATGCTATTACTTATTTTATTCATCCAATTGTATAAAGGCTTTCAGTCGAAGAGAACAAAAAGGTATTTTTATAAGAGTTATTTCTTTTGTAGCAAGAACTTTTTTTTAACAATCGTCAAATTTACGAGATGCAAACGACACAAGGAAGTGTAGAATACCTTTGTAGACAGAATTTTTAACCCATACCAGTGCATAAGGTATTTTTACAGTATGTAGAAACTTCAAGCCTATGACTCGGATGGAGAGCCGTAGTTTGTTTCGCAATTTCTCTCACGAATTATTTTTCATTAAACAAATTCGGAGCCATTGAATATGCATCGCTCCATATTTGAGTCTTGGGAAGTTTTCATGGTAGTATTCTGTGCTTCAGACTCGTTTCCAGTCATGAGGAAGGTTTAGAGGAAAGCGCATAGCATCAGGGGAAAACGTAATCTTAACGTCCTTTTCAGCATGACATGCAATGTTAATTATTAAGACAACCCCTTGCCCCCAGCTTTGCTGCCATTCGGTAGGAAATGGTATGACTTTGTCCTCAAAACAATATAGCAATAGATTCCAGACTAATTTTCAAGGTCCAAATTCCCACTCTGCAAAATATGGCTTAGTCTTAAACCTTCAAATATTTTTAGCAATTCGGTTTTGGATCACAAAAGCATTTTAGTAATTTAACAAGTGGTGCCCAAGTTTGGTAGGTCTGGTAACTCTAGTTCGTCACTATAAAGCGAACAAAATCGAATAAATGTGCTTCGAAATCATTGATTGTATCAGTTGTACGTGCTGTGGCTTAGAGTGCGAATTCTGCAACGGTAAATCAACTGGGCTTTTTCGGTTGTTATTTTGTTTACCAACAACAAGGTTCGTGCAGAACCTGTCGATCAAGATCGCTCACGAAAAAGCATTATTCATCCACTTTGAGCGTCCTCGTTTGATACCCCGCATTCTGCTCGTTGTGTAGCTTTCCGCGCATGCCAAAGAAAGTTTTGGAACGGACAGACTCGCTCGATATATGACCAAATTCCCTAAGCCACGGAGCTGCGTTGAGTGCTTGACGCGCGCTGTGGACTCTTGTATGACAAGGAAGCTTTCGGAGAAATCTCACGAAGTGAGACCGTAAACAACTCGGGATTTTCTTTACTTTATCTGTTCGTTAAGTCGATCTTTATCTTCAACACGCAAATCTTCAATTATAAATTTCCTTTTTAGAGTTTATCCTTAGCATCTTTGAACAAAATGATTCGAGTTTGGACACAAACCCAACAATATTGTCTATGGCTTCGATTGTATACGATCTGATGAAAAACACGAGACGTGAGAACAGTTAGAGTCCATTGGCTGTTTGATTTATTTCAGTTATTAAGTCAACATTAATGGCTAGATCCATAAGTAACTGACACACTTTTGCGGACTGGAAAATCCCTTTAAACAAAGATCATCTCGTTGCTCAACTAAGTTACCGAAAATTCGCAGTATGCGCCTTGGTCATAATGTCAACAAGCACCCCTTGCGACTAAGGGCCCCCCTCCCGTCCCTCCGTCTCTCACTTTCCTACATAGAAATATCAAGCTGTTTCTGTTGCCAGGAACAACAAGACCATTCTCTGGCCTTCGGGGACCAAACAATCTTAGATAATAAAGTCACTGAGATGCGTTTGAAGAAAACATTTGGTAATGAATAAGTACACCCCTCAATTAAGCGCCCTCCTTCCAAAAAGTTCCCCTTTCTTTTAGCCGAGTTGTTGGATAAGCAGAGCAGGGATGGCGCAGTAGTGAGAGTTAAATTCCTGGACCTGGCCCATGTTAGACGTGGCTTCAGTTTGTTGTTGGTTCTCAGTCGTCCTTGCTCCGAGGGATTTCGCCCGTGTCCTCAGGTTTTCCTCCCTCCACAAAAACCAATATTATAAATTGCAATTCGACCTGAAAACAGTGGACAGGAAAAGCCACCGGTGGAATATTCGTTTTATCCTCAATAATCGCACAGGCGCCTATTCTAAGAAATCCGGTATTAGGATATGTTTCAAGGTCGCAATTATACGTTAGATGAAGGCGACCGTGAGACGCAGGTTTTGATAAAAGAATAATTGATATTGTCCTATCAAACACCCTATTTCAAGGTAAAATGATTCAGCTGCAAGAACGTAATGGTTAGAATTTGAGTTTGAGCTTGTTAAAAACCATGAACCTTGTGCCACAAGAAAACCACAAGAACCTTGGGAACCTTGGGAAAGAGATTATTAACAGTTTACAATCTCTTGCGTTAGGGTTTTCCATAGGAAGCCCAAGTCATAAGCTGTTGAAACACAACACCTCCATTTGCTGCGAAGTGAGAATCACATTTCGCTAAATCAAGCGGTTGTTACGTAATGGTTTACTCGCAAAGGTAACGCATCGCTTTTCGTTACGCATATGGCCTTTCTCTAACGGAAAATGAAAAAAATTCGTCCTCTTTCAGCGAGCCTTTGTCGCCTGTAAGTAAGATTGATGTATCAGAGAAGAGCAAAGATACTGGCTATTTTAATATTAAACCGACTTCGGAAATCCTGAAGAAACTACGTCAGGAAACCACTTCGCTTTCCGCCCCAAGCCAAAAATAACTTAAGTTACACCGACATACTTAACGCTCTCATTTCTTCTCTCTGTTCTCTTATTTTCTCTTGGCAGCGGCTTATTAAAGACACGCTAAAAACCATGAGCAGCGGTGTACAAAAGTGGAAAGGTACCCTTTATACGATAAGTTCGCGTCTTATGTAAGCCGCAGATTATTTTCCTCCTAAACAAAGGCCCTACTGTTACAGCTGAAAAAAAAAAGCATTCAGCTCACGTAGACTTATAACCTTAGAACATATTCAGCTTTGTATACCGTGCTCTCGGATGAAATTCCAGCTTGGCGGTTTCAAAGATAAGCTCTACCACCTAAAAGATTACGTAATCAAGAGTCATGGACTTCTTCTTTAGTCTGTAAAGTACACTTCGCGGTCATTTCTTACATCCAACTATGGGTGATCTTCCTGCTTGCACTTTAGAGATCCAAAACGCCTTACAGCACTCGCCCTGTAAGAAGCATTTCTGAATCTCTACAGCGAGAGACGCTAGAGACTGGTTGCCTCGCCAGCCAATGTTTAAAAGGCGATGACGCCGAAGTTTTAATGGTCTTCTACACGCAGCATACTTTTCCTTAACTGTAACAGTATTTGCAGGAAAAGAGTTTACTTCGACAAATATAGCACAACGCGTTTATTGATCATAGGTTTGCACTAAAAACGAAATTATAATCTTAGGGAACAGACACGTGACCAGACCATACATGGTAGAAGCCATATGCAATTTTTATAGAAGTTACGTAACAAACAGACGCATCTTGCTGTGACGTATCTTAGGAAGGGAGGTTCTTGGAGGCTCGCTATTCGCTGGAATCACTCATCACTCGCTACTACAGGTTTCCCTGAACTTTCCGTAGAAACTCTAAAAATTTAGGAAGCTTGGCAGTAATCTGCTCCGGTTTCCAGTTTCCCTCATTTAGTAATTGGTCCCATTCTTCACAGTGGAGATGAACATCCGGCTTTTCGGGATTAACAAAGGACATCAAAGAAACAAAATGTATTAGTAATGCAAAGAAATTAAAAACAGTATACAAATGCCATTTAAGCACTGAAATAATTACTGATTGTAACTCCACGATACCTCATGGTCAAGCTTCAGACGAATTGTGAGTCCTTTCATCCAAATATTTTTCAACAACGTAAATCCGACCATTCACTTCTTGTTACCAAAAGTTTACTTCCAGTTAGTACCGAATCTTACTCAAATTTTCCAAATGAGTTGACATAACTATTAAATAAATGCGACCTTTTTCGCTTATTGCCTGTATCTTGCATAGAAATTGACAAAGACACGTCACCGAGCTGTTCACTTTGAGAAATATGCTGTGAATGTTATGTGAATGTAATGTAATGTGATTTGATGTGAACGCGATGTGGTCTGAATGTAACGTGATGTGAATATGATGTGAATGTGAATATGAATGCCGATGTAAATGTGAAGTGAAGTGATGTGATGTGATGGGATGTGATGAGAATGTGATGTAATGTGATGTGATATAGCGTAGTATGATGCAAGTAAGTGACGCACCGACGATTCAGTGAGCGAAGGGAAAGCTAGTTTGTTTGGTAGACACTAAATATCTAAGGCATCTATAGTGAGAGGAAAACAGGCAACGCAACATGGTAATGACTTAAGTTAGCCTTAGGACAAAACTAAAACACCTGCCTCTAGGCCCGAATCCGCTGCTTTCCTA